CCTATCCTTCTCTTCATCCTTTCCTCTATCACTCCTCTTTGCTCTCGCTCCAACTCTCTGTAACCCCTTGGAACCCCTTGCGTGCTAGTGACTTCCCGCCTTGCTTGGGGTGAAACGCTTAATATATATATATATATATATATATATATATATATATATATATATATATATATATGTAAGCAAATATATGGATATAGATCCGACAGTATGAAGAAAAATATACGGAAAAAACAAACAAAAATCCTAATATGCAATTATGCTGTTTTAATGTTAATATAATGTCAACGTCGGACGTTTCGGTCTAATAGACCATCTTCAGGACGACGTGATCATATTTAAACAGAACGCTGATCTTATAAAAGATTTCAGTTATCTGTTTGGATTGGTCTTGCTCTTATGTCCATCGTCTTTTTCATGTTGAATTGAATATGATCTATGTTAATTATGTTTTATGAATATGTCCTGAAGATGGTCTATTATACCGAAACGTCCGACGTTGACATTATATTAACATTAAAACAGTATAATTGCATATTAGGATTTTTGTTTGTTTTTTCCGTATATTTTTTTTCATATATATATATATATATATATATATATATATATATATATATATATATAAAAGAAATAATCACATAGAATCAATCATCAGTATTAATGCTATTAATATTAATAGCGTTAATATTGCTGATTGATTCTATGCGTGATTATTTTTTTGTATATAAATTATATGCTGCCTAATGTTTTATGTTTATATATATATATATATATATATATATATATATATATATATATATTTTGGTTGGATAGACGTTAGCTCTATCTCTGATATTGAGCGCTTTTCTAATAACTACCGCGCATAATATATAAATAATTATATATATATATTTATTTATATTTATATGCACACACTTTTCACACACACACACACACACACACATATATATATATATATATATATATATATATATATATTTATAATATATGGGTTTAAAGTGGGTTTGGCAATACTGTGAAAAAATTGCTCAA